TATTCTATGAAATTGTAGTTAGTTGGATTCTTGACTCAGAGACTAGTCATCGCTGAAGAATGTCAGCTGATCAGTCTGAAGGGATATGTGTTATAAAAAATAACCAGGAACAAATAAATTTAAATCGTTTGTTGGTGTCTAAACAAACAGTTGTGGAAGTATGGAATAGTGGAGACTTGTCTTAGCACCACCGTCAAAATGTCAGCAGTGTTGTAATGTGCTTGCTAAGGAAGTAAAGGTATTCTTAAATAACACTGATGCAAGTGGTGGGTTCAGAACTAGAAGTTGACAGCCTCAGGCTGCATACCCCATCGATGATTATAGAATGTTGTGTACAGTATGGGGTTTTACACTTTAAAAGGGACTTAGATGTGTTGGAGTATATCTAAACAAGTGGGAGGGTATAAAACCATTTCATATAGTTTAAAGAAGAGTAATTTCAAATTACTCTTTATAAAGAAGAGTAATTTCAAACTTAGATATTATAGTTATAGAACTTTTCCAGGACTTGTGGAGCTGCTGAGTAGGGGCCAGTGGATGAAATTTTAGGAGAGCAGATTTTGGTTCAGTAAAACAAATTTGTAACATTTAAGATCTTCAGAGATGTCTAAAACATATTGTCTTGTTATTGGGGATGTTTAAATAAAAGATACCTCCCCGAATTGGTGGATATTGGGAGAATTTTTATGCTACTAATTAAACAAATAGTCTGAACTTTTAGTTCTCTGAACCACTGCTGCAGGTTGGTGAAAGTAGTGTGGAGGTGAGGGGGACATTTGAGCATTATAATGTAATGTTTGATATAAGGAAAGAATATATACAACATACTAGTTGTGAAGCAGTCCTTTGTTTCATAAAGGAGCACCTGCGAATCCACCACTTACAATGAGAGGACTATAGCATTCCCCAAACCCATACCCATTGCATATTTCTGAAGTAGTTTGGCTATAATTACTAGCTTGCTAGGATAACAATAACAGAAGTTCTGATTCCCAGGACTTACAGATTGAAAAGTTTTGGAGATGTAACTTTTTAAAACATGGGGTTATGGGAGAAAATAATAAATGGGGTTCTTGCATGTATAAGGTTGGAAACCAATGGATTCGACTGAGTCATTCAGTAAGCAGCTTCTGTAATTATATGAGGCACAGGCACAGAGAAGAAAAAGACTTGTCTAAATCAAAAAGAGTCACCGTTAGAACTGGAATCAGAACTTGTTCTAACTTGAGTATTGTAAATAATACATTAGAAAGTATTGACGATTTCCTGCTTTTTTCCTATTGATAAAAGTAGTACGCAGCTGGTCAGACTTACCACTGATGAAGATTGTAAAGTCCTTGAGGACCAGAACTATGCCTTAGTCGTCTTTTTATTTCCATCAATACAGTCTTGTACATAATTTGTATTCTGTTAGGAAATTCAGTGATTATATCTTAGAGACTGAAAAAAAATCATGGTAGAAAGATTTCTTACCTATCTTTCCCATAATAGTAAGTTCTTTGGTAAGTAAACTTACCAAGACTTGTTTGACTTTAGTGCTCAATAAAGAACCTAGCTCATGCCTCTGTTCATTTACCTTCCCACCTACCCAACCCATCAAGCATTTATTGACCCACTGTGTTCCAGCCATTATTCTAGGATGTGGGGACACAGTGGATAACAGAGTCTCATGGAACTTTGAGTTATTAATCAAAGAATCACATAAATATTTGTAGAAATACAGCTTAAGTGGTACATTTTATCATCTAACTGGATGTCTGTATATGAAGGCTATTGGT